GATGTGTCCTTTCAGAAACCCAGGGAGGCTAGTGTGAATCTTGTCTATTCCCTGGCCCCAAGAGAGCGGTGTGATGCCTGTCCAGGCCTGCGCCAAGAGGGGATGTGCCAACCTGTTCTGAGACTAGGCTGGGTGAGGTGAGGCGGCATCCTTTTCCCAAATCAGGGAGGAGGCTGTCCAGTTCTTTCTCTGGTGCTGAGCCCAGGCAGAGGGGTGAGAATGCCAGTCCTTCCCTCCGTGGGAGGTGGTCCTTTCTCCCGCGCAGTAGGGTGGTGTGAGTGCTTTACCTCCCCAGAGAACACGGGAGGTGCTGTGAATTCTCCTCCATTCTTTGTCTAAACCCCGGGAGGGTGTGCTGAATGTTCTCTATTTCCTGGAGGGGAGGGAGGGTTGTGTGAAGGCTCTTTCTTTCAGGGAGTCCAAGGGAGATGAATTGATATTGATCTTTTCCATGAGCCCAGGGAGGATGGTTTGAGCTCATCTTTTCACATACCAGGGTGGGTGATGTAAATGAACATCCTTTCCTTGAAATCAAGGAGGGTGGTGTGAGTGCTCATCCTCTCCCTCAGTACAGAGAATTGACATGACTGCTAGCCCAGTCCCCAAACCCAGGGAGGGTGGTGTGAACTGATTGTAAACAGAGTTCAAGTCAGATAGTAAATGTGGAGGGTGGTATGAATGTTGTCCTTCCCTCTAGCACCGGGACACTGAGAGCCTTTTCAGAGTCCAGGAGAGCACCGCAGAAGCTAGACTTTCCCCCTGAGCCTAGGGAGGGTTGTGTGAATACTTGTCCTTTTTCTGTGAATTGTGGCCTGGTCTCAGGGCTCAAGGCATGTGGTTGAATGCTCGTTCCTTCTCCCAATGCAGAGATGGTGTATGAATACTCATCCTCTCCGCACACCTGGGGAGAATGTCATGAACCCTTGGCTTTCCCTGTGCCACGGACGGGTGGTGTGAGAGACTGTCTTCCCTCAAGCCAGAGAGTGGTGTGAATGCCCTTACGTCCCCTGTGCCAGGGGAGTGTCCTGTGATTGCCTGTCCTTTCTAGCGCACAGGGAGGGCTCTGGTTACACAGTCGCCCTGCCCTTAGACGCATTTGCTCACTGACCCTCCCCTATGGAATGGCCACTTGCAACATCATGTCCTCATTCCAAAGGCATCTTCCCCTAGTCGCTACCTGCCCCTTGCCGACCGCGGTCAGTACCGCCCGTCGCCCACCCGGCACTTCCTCCAAACCCAGTTGTCATCAGCGTGGCCTGTTCTAGTTGTCAGGCTGCTCCCTTCACCCCATCCCATGGTGAATATTTCACTTCCTCTTGCTTTGATACCCTGGCTTCCTGGCTTCCTCTGCGCATTCCTGGGCTCATCTCCCGCTGCCAGCCCCACTGGGGAGGGAAGTGTGAGCCCTTCCTCTGGCCGGTGGGAGGGGAGCTGGCGGGCGCTGTCTGCTGTGGTGCTGTGCTGGAGTCCCTGCCTGCTGCCCTGCCCCAGCCCTAACACCGCACCCACTCTTACTGCTCAGAAACGGGGCTGGAGTACAGGCTGCTAGTAGGAGCTGCTGTAGCCCCAGGCTGCTCGGGTTGGCATCCCCACTCCCCTGTTTTCCTCTGCTCTTCAGAGGAAGGGTTGTCTCTGGGTCTGCAGATTGGACTCCTGCTTTAAAAGCAGAAGGCGCAGGAGCCTGTGGCATTTATCAGTGCAAAAAGGGCCAGTCAGCACAGACATGTGCAGGCCACTCAGGGAGTGGCTTCATTGGCCTCACTCGGCCTGTGTCCTTCATGTGTTCCTGTCACCCCACTGGGGGCCTGGAGGGGCTTTTTTTCTTTTTTTTATATAACAGTTTATTTTTACATCATTTTGTACACTTCTTTTCCCATCTCAATTGTCTCAATTGTAATCCCCGTGGGTTTCCCATCACCAAGTCACCTGTGTGCCATCACCATAGTCCTGTGCACTGCCCCCCCCCCCGTTTTTGATCCCATTCCCCACTCCACCCCTGCAAAATGTCTCTGGTATATGGTTGTTATGGTTGTTCATTATTTTTATTTTCTCGCCTGGTCCATTATACTCCTGCTATGAGTGAAACCATCTGGTATTTTTCTTTCTCTTTCTGGCTTATCTCACTCAGCATGATCTTTTCCAGCTCCACCCATGTTGCTGCAAAAGGCATGAGTTTCTCTTTTTTGGTTGCTGAGTAATATTCCATCGTGTATATGTACCCTGTCTTTTTAATCCAGTCATCTACTTTTGGGCATTTGGGCTGCTTCTATGTAAATAGAGCAGCAATAAACATGGGGTTGCAGGTGTCTTTTTCAATCAGTGTTTTTGTGTCTTTTGGGTAGATACCCAGGAGTGGGATTGCTGGGTCGTAGGGAAGCTCCATATTAAGCAGTTTGAGGAACCCTGGAGGAACTTTTTAAAAGTCTGACCTGGTCAGTTGCTGCAGCAGGCTGGGCTCAGTGGGGACCAGCCATGACTGGGCCACTCTACTTGGAGGATCCCGCTGGCTGGTGGCGACTGGTGGCTCCGTGGTAGGGGAGGAGCCATGGGGGGCAGCCTCGACTACTAGAGGGGAAACGGAAGAAGCCATCTCCTCTGCTCTTCCTCAGGCTGCACCTGCCCTTCCTGAAACTGCTGGGCAAGGGCCCTGCCAGTCTCCTGGCTTCTCCCTCTGCTCCCTTTGCTGTGCTCACCCAGCTTCGCTCAGCTCCCTACCCTTCCTTCAGGCCCCCTGCTTGGCTCCCCAGGCTCCGGCCACACACTTGTGTGGCACTGCCCGCCTCCCCGTCCTGTCTGTACTGGGGCCTCTAGGGCCAGTTTGGCTCATATGTGGAGGGGTCAGCTCTGCAGCCACCGCCAGGCCGGGCGTCTGCGGCCCCCACCCCTGCACTGGTGGGCCTGTGCCTATCCTTGCGGTGCTGCTACTTCCACCCCAGTCTCTTCACCTTTTAAAAGTACCTCTTTAAAAAGTGTGTCCCCTTGCTTCCGCACGCGCTGCAGCAGGCCCAGCTGCAGACTTGCCTGCACATGTCTGTGCTGACTGGCCCTTTTTGCACTGATAAATGCCACAGGCTCCTGCGCCTTCTGCTTTTAAAGCAGGAGTCCAATCTGCAGACCCAGAGACAACCCTTCCTCTGAAGAGCAGAGGAAAACAGGGGAGTGGGGATGCCAACGCCACTCCCAGGTTCCTTCCTGTGACTCTGGGGCAGTGGGCATGGCCTTGGCCAGGCCTGTGTCACCTTTGCTCAGGAGGTGGTGGTGGCTCCTAGTTGCCAGTCTTGCTACTTCCACCCCAGTCTCTTCACCTTTTTAAAGGACCTCTGTGTGTCCCCAAGTTCTGGTGTGTCCCCTTGCTTCCGCACGCGCTGCAGCAGGCCCAGCTGCAGACTTGCAGGCTCTGTCCTCGTTCAGTCTGTCAGTAGGCGCGTCCCCGGGATCGTGGCCCTGCGTCTGCCTTGAGCTGGGAGGCCTACCCCCTCCTCCTGGCCACACCTTGCTGCCGCCAGGGCCACCCTGCTGTCAGCTTCTGCACTTTCCTTCCAGACAGAATTAGCTGTTGTCATCTTCTCCCTCATCACACTGCTCCTAATTTGGGGGTAACACTTAGCACATTTTGACACGACTGGCTCCCGCCTCTTGGCGTGTGAACCTCTGGCCGAGCTGCTGTCTGCTTGTGGCTCTTGCATGGAGTGTGACCGAGGGGGAATGTCCCCTCAGGCCCCTCACTACTGCGTTTGAAGGTTCACTGCTTCTTCTGGGCCTGAAGCACAAGCAGAAAGGAGCTTGATCTGCTCTTTAATAGGACACCAGTGGATGTGGGAATGGTAAAGCAGTCAGCGGTATTTCAATAACCGTGAGCACAGGCCCTGGGGACATGTTTTTATTGTAGCAGTGAGTAGGTGGGTCCCAGTTCTGCTCTGTGAGCACTGCTCATGGAAGAGGACTGTGGGCTTTGTTGAGTTGTTTTCCGTTTGTCTGAGAAGTGCATCCCGACTCTTGCCAGAGGGAAAGCGAGGAGAGATTGACAGATGTCCGCAGGCCCAGAGACAGTCCCCGGGGCGGGTCTGGACACTGAGTGCCTCCGGGGGAGGCCGCATCCCCACCGCCGCTGGTGTGGTGGCTCTCTCCTGGTCAGCTTCTCGTTACTGAGTCGTTGGTGTGCCCTGAGTGCGTGATTTCAGGCACAGAGTTCATCGTGTTGGCTGTTTTTTGAACAATTTTGTGGGGACAGCAGCCAGTGCCAGTGCCGCCTCTTCCCTGCCAGGGAACCCACAAAGACTCCCAGTTCTGCCCGTTGCTTTGTGCTCAAAGTCCTGTTCTGATTCCTTTCAAAGCAGGTTCGTCTTGCCAGGTTTCGGGTCCCATGCACTTAGGGTCACATGTTCATGCTTTTCCGGGTACGCTCCTTCCCTGAGTAATGTTTCTGAGCCCCACGGCCGTGCGGTGCTGGTGCTAACCGTGTAGGCGGGGAGGGCTGCTGTGGCCTGACTAGATGGTTCTCACTCTTCTGCTGATATTTGGGCTACTTCTGCTTTGGGGGGTGTGGTGAATCTGGAACCCATTTTGTGCCTGTTTTATGTTCATTTTTCTTGGGTAAATACCTGGACATGGAGTTGTTGAGTCATAGAGCAGGTGTTTAACTTTGAGAAAGTGCCAGATTGCTTTTCAAAGTGGCTGCCGTGTTGCTTGCTTTTTGTAATTTATAAAAGTAATTGGGCATTTCATCTCATTGTAGAGATCCTGCTGTAGACCTGACAGATGCCTTGGACTGGCAGGCTGTATTTTGCAAAAATAAGTTTTATTTTAAAACATTGCTCCATAAGCTTACTTGAAAACAGTTCAGGATATTATTAGGCCTTAAAGTGGTTGGCTGTTGCGTAGCTATCTGGAAAACGCTACCACATGTATACACTATTTAAAAGGTGCCTCCATTGGTCTGAATAGCCTGGGTTTCCCAGCCACGTGGTTACTCAGAAGCTAAGGATGCAGGACTGGCGGTTTGCTAAGAAGTCACTGGTGTGTGGCGTGGTGGCTGAAGGGAGGACGGGAGCTTGTCGGGTAAGTGTGGAGGGGCAGCCCACCTGGAAGCGGCCCTGGCAGTGGCCTGATGGTCAGAGGAGACCAGCAGCAGAAGCCAGCTTGGGGCAGGAATGGCGCCCAGACCGGGCGAGCACAGGCTCTGTTGGGGCAGAGGTGAGGGGTCTCACCCCACTGGCTGTGCACTGCCGGCCCCCATCTCTGCTCCTCCACCCCACTGCCCTCCTGTCCCGCCAGGGTTCTTGGTTTAGGAAATAGATACCAGCTGAAGGCTTGTGTAGTGGAAGAACATGTTAGAAAACTTAGATAAAAGTGGAACGCACAGGCTGTAGGCATGCGGATTTGGGGGTGGTGAGCCTTTGTCCTCCGGCATTGTTCCTCTCCTTTCTCCTTCTAATGTCTTTCTGTCATTTAGTTCTTACTGGGTGAATTATTTCCTCACTCTCATTTGAATTTAGGATTTAAAATTTCTTCCATTATGCTTTTATCTTTTAATAACTATAAAATACCAGAATGTTCCCCTGTATGTTTCACAGATATATTTTCTTCCAGAGTTTTCTTTATGCATTGTGCCTGCTCTGCTTCCCTGTGTTTCTGGGTGGGGTGGGGCTCTCTCTTTCACGAGCCCTACCTTGGATGTCCCTCGCAACCAGGCACGTGACACTTCTGTGTCCATGGTAGGAGTGGCCTCTGGTGACCCTCATCTTGGGAAACCTGGTGTTGGTCATTGTGGGTGCTGCCGCCGCTTGAGATCTTTAGGTCAGATGAGTGCTTTTGGAGAAGCTCCCAGTGCACCCACCAGCCAGGACCTGGGCACCCAGGCGGAGGTGCCAGCTGGGGGTTGCTTCCTTGGTGGCCCTGCTTGCTCCGTTCCTTCAGGTGCTCCCTTGCTTCTCCCTCCCTCTGCCAAGCTCTCCTCCGGCACGCCTGCCTCTTGCTCTGGCTCGCTCTTTTGTGTAAGTGCTTCGCTGTGCTAGGGAGTGGTGCAGACTCTGAGTGCAGGCTGGCCACATGCGGGGGGCTTCCCCTCAAGGCTGTTTCTTGAGGGGCTTTGACTCAGATTTGCCTTTCACATGGGCTCAAATAGCAGGTGGCATAATGGACACATTGAAAATACTAATTTTCAGGATTATCATTTACTACTAATGAAAGCATGGCAGAGCAGTGATTTCATAATTTCCAAATAACATAATTTTATGTATAAAAGGTTATGTTGGTTATAGGTGCTGCAAAAATTAATCACACCCAAAGGATTAGTGTGCACTTTTGCTGTAGTCAGTAACTCTGCTGATGAGATCTTACCATTTTTTCAGGTCCCATCACATTGGACAGTATGCACCTTAAGATCCTGAAGAAACGACACAAAATGTTCCAGTAATGCTTGGAAGTGATCTGTGAGGTAAGGGCGTGCTTCTTCCTTAGTGGCGTGAGCACTGTTTCTGACTGAGACGCTGACCATAGAGCTCTGAGAAACCAGTGAAAGGTTCTCCACCACAGGCCCATCCTTTGCTGCTGTTGTCTTAGGAGTCTTCCAGCCAACCTGAAAGAGTCTACCTGGACGAACCTGTGAGCTACGTTGATAAACTCTTAGCAAGATGAGGGGGGTGTGCAGCTGTGAGGGCATTGTGTGCTGTTGCGTCTGTCCTCCAGATAGTGGAGTCTGCAGCACTGTCTCCAGCGCGCTGGGAAACGGCCTAATTTAACACATGGAGACGCAGCTTGGGTTCAGAAGGGGATACACAACCCCATTCAGTCGGCCATTAAAATAGAGAAATGATGTGATGTGTTTTCCCATCACTCCATGCAGAGCGCTTTCAGCTGGTTCCCAGAAGTGCTTTGTGTGCATTCAAGCAGCGGTGGCGGCAGGCTTTAGTGTCGAGTCCACGGCAGGCGCCCGGCTCCTGAGGCGCGTGTGCATTGCACTGTTGCCGCGTGCGTGGCCGAGCTCCAGCATGCTCAGTGTTGCAGTCGGGGCCAGCATGAAGAGATAGTTTCTCCATTTCCTCCCCTCCCTTCCTGTTGCATGAGGAAAGAGTGACTGCATGACTCAGCGGGACCATGTGCGTTCAGCACACATGGAGTGTGTCCAGCTCCACTGCTGTGCTTTCCCGGCCCAGTGACTTCCGGGTGGAGGACTGTTTTCCTGTTGCCTTCCAGGGAGTGTTCAGGCTAAAACTCACCAGACACGGCACCAGCATCTCTAAGGGACACTTTTAGGATGGCTCACCTGCTGGGGCTGGTGTCGCTGTGGTCCTTCTGCACAGATAGACCTGCCTGCAGGCCACTGAGGTGGTTCTCTCAGGACCCCACTCCCAAAGGCTCATATGATGTGCATCTGTGCCTTTGAGACACTTCCGGCTCCTGCTTTCTAAGTAGAACCCAGATCCAAATGCAGGGCATTCTTACAAAAACCTTGTCAGCCCTGACTTGGGGCCCAGCATACCAGCACCCCTTTCACAAAAAGTGTTCTGTTTGAGAAGTAGCAGTCATGCAGCAGAGCACTGTGGTCAGTAGAACTCCACAGATATCACTGGGGTTCCAGAATCTGAGAGTGGGACCAACTTCTCAGAAATCTGCTAGTAAACTTTCCGTGGGCCTACAGCAGACAGAAAGGGCCCTCCTCGTGAGGGAGGAAGGAGGAAGACACTCAGCTGCTGTCTTAGGGAGAACATGGGGGGGGGGTCACTGCAGGTGACCCTGATTGCTCAGGGAAGTGGAGAGATGCTTCCAGGCCCGTCCTCTGACAGAACTAGGCTTTCCCCATGGCATAAGACAGAACTTGGTTCCACCATTATGTCCTCATAGTTGTACCTCTCAAACTGTGTGCCAGAGACGGGAGAGACTCCTGTCAGGGCAGCTGACTTGAAAGAAGACGTTGCAGGCCATGTATGATAAATGGCCTCTCCGCAGGGAGGAGCCGAGCTTTTTGGAGGGAAGGTGGTGCGACAAGTGCCGGCTGCCTTCAGCTGGTCGGGCCTTTCCAAGTTCCTTTCATCTTGCATTTTGTCTTTATTCACTTAAAAGTTTTAAACTTCTTTTTTGTCTGACTGAGTTGAAGATTGCTTTAGTAGCTGAGGGAACGATATCATCACTATGTTCATATCGAGAGGATTCTGCCAGGTTTTCACCTGCAGTCTGTGCCTTCGTTGTGTGTTTCATTGCTACGTGCCGGGAGCATGTAGGAAAGAGCAGCACCCAGATTTGGGAGTGGGGCTGGTCTTCACCTGCAGCCGCCTGGGTGCAGCCTCTTGTCTGCCTGAGCCTACTCTCCCAGTGAGTCTGAAAGGCCCCTGCTTAGGTCATTTGATAAGGCTCTGAGAGCCAGATGAACTCTGCCTCCCAGGCCCCTTGCTCTTTATTTGTCATGACTGTTCCTGCCTCTGGCAAACACTGATAAGAGTAGGGCATGCATTTAAAGTAGCAGTCACCACAGTCCCTGAACAGTGCAAGCTGCTCCCCAGCTCCTCTGACCCCATGTTCTCAGAGACCAGGTGCTTCAGGAATTCTGGGCGAAGCATGCAAAGGTGGCTGACCGAAAATGGGTTAATAAATAGAGCAGACTTTTCAAAGATTAAAATCGAGAGGAAGGGCAGTCTCCAGGTAGGGTAGAGTCGAACAGAGAGTAAGGGAGCCACCCCAGAAGCACGCCTGCATCCCGGCTAAGACGGGGTGCGATGCCAGTCCACAAGCAGCTCAGCCTGGCAAGTGCTCCTGAGCCGGGTGCCCAGAGAGGAGGAATGCGGCTTCCTCCGCTCTGCTGCCTGCTGCTGCTTGTCGTGGCCACACTGGCTGCAGCACAGAGAGAGGAGCAGGCCCAGGGAGGGGCGTCGTAGCTGAGCCTCACCCCCACGACCCAGGCATGCTCACTTGCTCTTTTCATCCTCTTGGTCCTTTGTGGCCCCTGGCCAGCTCCAGGTGGCTGCGTCTTCAGGCTGCCAGAGCCTGCGGGCTTGCCGGGTCCCAGAGACGGAGCATCAAGGCGAAGGGTTTAAAATTCGGTCAGTAGCCAGCCTGTCTACGAAAGGCGAGGGCCGCGGCGCCTCGTGGGGCGGAGCGGGGCAGGCAGCGCGAGCAAGCGGGCACCTCATTGCTCTCCCCTCAGGCGCCTGGGGAACCATGCCGTCATCAGGACACCGTCTCCGCGATGTCGAGCACCACCCTCTCCTGGCTGAAAATGACAACTGTGACTCCTCGTCATCGTCGTCGTCCTCCTCCGAGGCGGATGTGGCAGGCAGAGTGTGGTTCATCCGCGACGGCTGCGGCATGATCTGCGCGGTCATGACGTGGCTGCTGGTCGTCTACGCAGACTTCGTGGTGACGTTTGTCATGCTGCTGCCTTCCAAAGACTTCTGGTACTCTGTGGTCAACGGAGTCATCTTCAACAGCCTAGCGGTGCTCGCCCTGTCGTCCCACCTGAGAACCATGCTCACCGACCCCGTGAGTACTCCCGCGTGTTTCTGTGCCTGCGGGCTCGCCCCTTCCAGGACGCCTGCTCCCGGCGCTGTCACGCCTGACTGGTGAGGGACGAGGAACAGAGAATAGTGCCGTGGGCATAAGCCTTCTCTGAAACTCCTCCTAGTTCACATTGCTCCGGTGTCTCTGAAGTGTGCACTGGGGCTCCAGAACACCCTTCACGCGCCTCTCACTTACCTCTTAACCACAAGGGGCTCACTGGGCTCCGGATTCCTCTTAGTTCTGTCCAGTTCCACAATTCTCCTGGTTTTCCATCTCCATTCAAGGCAGGAGCAGATGTCTCCCTCATCTGGTAGCAGGACAGTGGGGTGGGGGGTGCTTTGGAGGTCAGGTTCAGCTCACAGGGAGCGAGGGTGCAGGTGGGTGCGACAGGGAGGCCGTGGGCTCACCTTCAGGCATGTCCAGTCAGGTGGAGCTTACAGATGTGCCCGAGGCAGCGCCAGGAGCCGCCTGTGCTCCTGAGGACCCAGCGTCTGCTTGTCACTTTAGAGCGCTCTCTGGGGTTTTGCTAGGCCACTGGACGTCATGACCAGGCTGAGCCAGGACATGCAGTGGGGGGAAAGGGCCTGCGGATCCAGGGGCTGGTTTCCCAGTTACAGGAGCAGGTGGCAGGGGCCCACAGTGGGGCTGGTTTGTAAAAAGCTCTTTCCCAGGAGGAGTTAAGATGGTGGGTTTAAGCCATTGCTCCTAGGCTTTTGGTTTGCAAATTAAGCTTTCTCTGAAGAGGTAGGTAGTGTTACTGTAGACAGGTCTGTAACGACTAGATTAGGGCTCCTTGTGAGAGCGGGTACTGCTCGGTCTGGGCATGTGGCGGGGCGCCGCTTCACCAGTGTGTCTGTCCTTCGTGCTGTCGCCTCACTTGCCAGGCAGAAGGCTTATTAGGCTGTGTCAGACTGTCACAGGGCCCTGTCTCCCTTACACAGCAGTGCCTCCCCAGGACCCAGACCTGCCTGCCCCTGGCGCCTCCCGCCCCTCTCTTGTGCACGAGAAGCACCGCCCGTCTCTGAATATGCACACAGGCAGAGCCTGGGCTGGCCCTTTGGTGGCAGGACCACATCTGTGCCAAGTGCCCTCCTGTGGGCCTGTGTGATGGCACCAGACTGAGGCCCCTCTCTTTGGGGTGAGTAGAGGCATCCCTGCCCTGCCTCTGTGGAAAGGTCTCAGCACTGCAGGCAGCCCCAAGAGCTGGGGACTTGTGCGGCCTAAAGCCTCTGTTCCCACTTTGGGGATCGGGGGTTCCAGGGTGCCGGAGGAGTGGGGATCTTGGACCTCGGTGTGTTGACATTGAAATTTAATTCACATATTACGACACGTATGATTCTAAGGCGTCCTTGCGAGTTGCGCCACCATGACCCTGCACCCCTTTGCCATCACTCCTAGTCCCTGGCCGTCGTGAATCTGCCTGCTGTCTGGGGTTTGCCTTTTCTGGGCAGCTCGTGTCACAGCATCACAGCATCGAGGCCTTTGGTGTCCTGACTCCGCAGAGGTTGGCAGGGGCCTCCCTGACAGCAGGGTGCTCCGCCCCTCCGTGCTCACTGCCACGGCTGCATCCCTGCTGTGGCTAGTCACTGGTGCTTTACGCCCTGTCAGCTGGTGGCCATTGGGGCTGGTTTTTGGCGATTATGGATAGTGCCGCACGAGAACAGGTGTGTGCACAGTTACCCTCATTTCACCTTCTCTCGGTGTCTGCTTGGAGCCAGTTGTGGCCATGTGGTCAGAGGCTGCACTTCTCATCCCTGCCACAGTGGCTGAGGGTCCTGCTTGTGTGGTGGGTCGTCGTTTCGGTGTGGCGCCCTTGCGGGCGTGGACTGCCAGCTCGCCATGCCTTGGGTTTGCCTCGTGCTTGCCAGCTGTTTGCATGCCTTGGAGAACTGTCTGGCCGGCTACCCAGACTCTGAAGCCAGGAGGGGCCTGAGGACCCCAGGGCAAGGAGCCCCTGGCAGGTGGTGGAGTGGGAGGAAGTAGCTGCAGGAAGACAGACTGAGGGCAGGGCTGGTCAGCTTCTTCAGACGGGCCTCTGTCCTTCTCTGTGTGAAGTGGCGGCCAAGAAGAGCGCCCCACAGACCAGGCCAGACCAAGTTGGATGGTAATGTCGGCATCACGAACCAGCAGAGTGAGACATCACACTGTCCCCACCACAGGTCAGTCCCCTTCTGGGCTGAACTGGGGTCATCACACCCACTGGACTTCCCGTCCTTCTAAGGTTGTGGCACCAGCCCATCTTTGTAGAGTCGATTGGGGTTTGTCGTCACTCGAGAAACACTGTAGGGCCTTTGAGGAGCAGGTACGAAGGTGGGGTTGCTGACACATGATGGATTGGAGTGCTAATAATGACCCAGTGGACCACACTCTTGAACAAGACTTTAGCCCACCTTAATGCTGTGAGAGACTATGAGAGAAAAGCCCCTCCTGCCCCCCATGCTCCTGGAGCACCCGCATCCTAAATCCCATCCTGCAGAGTGCCTCAGCCGCTCTTGCCACTGCCGGAGGGCCCCATTGCAGAAGGGCTCCCTACCAGAACATTCCGTCATCACAGCAAGTCGAAGAAGTGGGCATACCTCCACGTGAGAAGGTGAGACCCCCGCTAGTGGGGGACACAGCTGCCATTTTAGCAGTTGTTGTCTTCAAAGCCCCTGTTAGCTTCTTTGAGACCCTTTCTGGTGCAGCCCACATGGTCACCCCACCCCTGCTGTCACGCTTCTGACACCATGGGAGAGAACTGCTTGCCTTCCCTGGGAAACTGTCATGGCACCTAGGAAAGGCAAGGCTCTCCCTTAGACCCCGAAGCCGTGGGTGGTCGCCTGAGGGGCTTCAGGAGCTGCTTCACGCCTCCATCCCTCTACATCCTTGTTTGTTGGCATGCAGAATGGTCATATACATTCAGAACAGGGCCCCAACAAGAGTCCTCCCTTGTGATTGGCTGAGGAAGCTCATACATTTATTTCAATTTTGACAATATTTTTTCTTGGAATATTTTAATTGAAGGACCTCATCTGTCCTGTGAGTTTTCCATCCTACTCTGGAGTTTTTATCACATCACTCTTAAAGGTTTATTTATTTACTTGGGTACAGCCAGAGGTGCAGGGGGTGAGGGGATTCACCAGAGACAGAGTGGGGAGCAGAACAGGCAAACCGATGAAGTACACTGCTGAGGGGAGCAGCGGCAGTCTGCTGCACCATGTGGTCACCTCCGGGGCTGGAGTCAAGCTCACACTGAGGCGCCTGCAGCGAGCTTGCAGTGCTGCGTCCTAACCCCTTGCGCCACCAGGGAGGGCTGCCCATCACTCTTAACTACTCTTTGGTTTGGTCCTGGGAATCCTGAAAGCGTGATAGGGTGTTGGTGGGGGAGTCAAGATTGGAAGAGAGGGAGGGAAAAGAAAGCTTTGCAGAACATGACTCCCTGGACATAGGACGCGGTTGAGAGCATGTGTCCTCAGTGGCGTGTTAAGGTGCGCGGGTAAGGGGCAGCAGGCCTTGGTTCAGAGCGGGCGGTCTGGGAGCTCCCTGGGAAGTGAGCCCGGGCCGGTGCCCAGCGCCTTGCTCCTCGCCGGAGGTGCACACAGCGTCTGGGACACGGGGTGGCGTAGGCGTTCGGCTTTCCGGAGTGCATTCCATCGCTTTGTGGGTGTTGTTACTGGAGAGGTGTGTAACTCACAAAAATTAACAGGGAGTTTACATCTGGCCCATTTCCTCTTACTGTCCCTGGGAGCTTGTGCTACAGCTCCAGGTGGCGGGGAAATTTCATCAAATTATGGTGTGTAAACGAAAATGTCTTATAAAGTAGTTCAAACCTTTAACAATTCCCATCTTTGAGGGTCAGCTTGACCACAGCTTTGGCTCTGAGGACATGTGGAGGGCAGTCACCTCAGGGAGGGGCTGGGCACACGCTGCCAGTGCCCTGAGCGCCTCCCCAGGAGATGTGTGTTTCTGCGTAAGGTCCAGGGCTGAGGAGCTGCGTGGACTGTGTCCCGCCCCCACCAGTGCCTGCTGCACCCCACACCCCAGCTGTTTGTCGTTACCTGCTCGACTCCTGCCTTGCTCCTCCGGACCTGCTGTCTCTGTCTGCCTGTGGCCTATCCCCCCACCCCAATTCCTTCCTCCAGTCCAGCTCCTCTCGCTCTCAGGCCACAAGTGGGTTAGCGCCCATTGGGTCAGGCGCTGGGGCGCCTCATCCAGGTCTGTGCGCCTGGCCTTGATGAAAGCGGCAGCAGATGCCACATACGGCTTTGCGAGAGGTGCTCCTGGTTTTGGTCACTGTCCCCTGCGTGCTGCCTACAGGAGCACTGGGCAGTGCTTTAGGGGTGGGGGTCGGCGGGCGGCCCCTCTGGAGGGAGCACTCCCTGCCCCCGGCGCGCCTCCCGCCAGCCGCCGCCAGCCCCAGCTCCCGGAGAATACAGCTTTGGCCCTGCCTGCGTGACACAGTGGTGTTCCATAGTGACTTGCCTTTAGTGACAAGTTAGTTTACAGCTGTGATGTCTACGGCTAAGCCTGACCTGTCCTGCTAACCCTAGGGGGCCGTGCCCAAAGGAAACGCCACGAAAGAGTACATGGAGAGCCTCCAGCTCAAGCCCGGAGAGGTCATCTACAAGTGCCCCAAGTGCTGCTGCGTCAAGCCCGAGCGCGCCCATCACTGCAGGTATGGGCCGCCGAGACGTCCACACGGGACCCCTGCCGGGCGCCAGGGCTTCTGGGTCTGCACCCAGTACACCTTCACTGCAGGTAGTGGGGCTCTCTGCAGTCCCCCCAGCGCCAGTCTCTGCAAGAACAGGGGCTCGTCCCTAGTAACCCACCTCAACTGCGTCTGCAGGTGCAGGGTAGTCCTGGTGTCCCCGCCCTCGCCCCACAAAACACACCCGCCCTCGCCCCACAAAACACACCATGTGAAGGGTGGGGCTGCCCCCCCACTGCGGGAACAGGGGCTCCCTGCAGGCCAGAACCCAGCATGCCCCTCTAGGTAACTGGGCCCCCTCGCCACTGGATACAATGCCGCCGTGGGTAGCAGGATACCTTGCCATCCCCCTGCGCAGCTCCCCTACCTCTAGCTACTGGGGATCTTCCCCCAGTGTCCCCAGCAAGCACTCCCACTCTGTAAGGCCAGGGTACTCCCTAGTACTCAGACTCTCTTCCCCCCTCACGTCCCGGAGTTCACCCCTGTCACCCACCCATTACACCCACCTCTACGCACTGGGGTTTGTTTAAGTTGCACCGTTCAGTGCAAACATCCCTGCACCTGCTGGGACCCCCACCAGCCATGCAGCTTATCCACCACGCGTGTACCAGGTCACTCCCTAGCACCTCCAGTGAGCACACCCCTCAGCGGGCCCAGGGCACCATCATAATCCTCCCCCTCCCCCCCACCCTGGGCAGGACCCATCGCCTGCATCGAGGGCTCATCACTGCAGGAACGACGCTCCACACCTGTTCCCCAGTATATGTATCCTGTGCACCCACACTGTAGGGCCTAGGGTTCCCCCGACAGTGTCTGCATACAATGTACCTCTCACTGCAGGTTCCAAGGCTCCACCAAACACCAGACTGCACCCCCCCACTCCCACTGCAGTCAGGGGCTTCCATGTAGCCCCCACCCAGAATAGAGCACTCTCACGGGGGTTCTCCTAGTTACCTAGCGAGCTCCCTATTTGTAGCATGTCCTTCCTCTCCTTACTGAGGTACTGGAGGGACCCCAGCTTTCCCCAGTATCCCCCACCCCACACACACTGGGCTTCTCCCCACTGTACACACTCAGCTAACCTCCCTGCCACTCCCAGGACGGTCACCATAGCTGCCCTGCACACCTGCCTTGTGGAACCTGGGCTCATAGGTATGCCCAGCTAGCATAGCCCTCTTCATACCTGCCAAGGCTTTCCCCAGTGTGGCACCCCCATTCTCCACACAACACACCCACCACTGCAGGTGCTGGATGCCACAACACACCCAAGTGGATTCCCAGCACCCCTGTAGTCAGGTGCCCGTCTCCCGGTGTCGTGCAGGTCTCCCCATCACTGAGGGGCTGCGGCTCCCTCCCAGGCACCAAGCACTGCTCTACCTGTACTGGGGTGCAGCCCACTTCCCACCCGGACGAGCACTGTAGTTGCTGGGGCCACTTGTCCACTCGCCCCAGCAGCGGCTCCCAGGACATCTCCACTGCTGCAGCGCCAGGCCGCTGTAGCCCTCCACCCCGACCAGCCCCAGCGCTCCTGGGGTGACACCTAGCTCCCCAGCATCCCCACCTGTGTGTGTACAGGCTCTCCCCATAATCTCCACCTGCACATGGATGTCTGGGGTACCAGGACTCCCCCGTCCTTCAGCCCCAGCCAGCCACCTCTTGGTTCTGGGGATTCCCCAGTCCTCCTACCCAGTAACCTCTAGCTATGGTGAAGCCTCCGTGCCCCGAGCACCCCTGTCGGGGCTGTGCCATAATTCCGCTCAGCTCACCCACCATGCTGCACTGCTGGGGCCCCTCCAGTCCTTGCACCCAGAGCACCCACTGCTGTAGGCAGAGGGGACACCTGGTCTCCCAGCCCAGTTGCTTCGCTAGTCCGCACCCAGAATACAGCTCTGTTCTGGGGTTCTCCCTACCCAGCTCCCACTCCTTTCCCCATGCAGCTCACCTCCTACAGATCCTGGGGCTCTGCCCAATAGCCACACCCAGCACTCTCACCTCTGTGGATAGTGGGGTTTCACCCTGGCCCCCACGCAGTCCACACACCACTGCGGGTTCTGGGGCTCTACCTAGCTACACAGGGAACCTGCCTCTCAAGGACCGGGGGCCCCTGGGCTCCTGCCAGTCCCTCAGCCCAGACCCTTGCTGTGCCCTAATCAGGCTCTGCCGGTACTGGGCTCTGCCCAGTGGCCCCACCCACCTCAGAGCATCTGTCCCCAAATTGCACCCCTCTTCACAGCTCTGGGGTTCTCCACAGTGTGCACATGTGGACACCCATCACTGTAGTTCCTAGGACCCCTACAGCACACAGCAGCCCCTCTGCAGAGCAGGGCCTCTGTGGTGTCTGCCTGGCACACCTGTGGGCACCGGGGCTCCCGACGGACGCACCCCCCTGCCCTCAACACACTGCTCTGGGGATACCAGGGCGCTGCAGTCACGCAGCAAACTGTCCTCTGCAGGCACCCGGTGCCCCACAGGCCCGAGCCAGCGCACCAGCTCGCTGTAACCGGGGCTCCTTCCAGCCCTTGTACCTGAACACCCAGCCTGCAGGTCCTGTACTCCCCGCAGCCCCTCAAGCCACCTGTGGTGCCTCGCTCTCCCCCATACCCTGACACCCCTCGCTACCTGTGCAGGCGCCAGTACCTTCCCCAGGACTCCCAGTGAGTAATGCATCACTACTGGGGCTTCCCAGTAGTCCCCACCCAGCACCTCACCTCTGCAGGTGCTTGGGCTCCCCCACCCCCACCACAGCACACTTACCTCTGCAGGTGCCCGGCCAGCTCTCCCACCTTCACCCCCACTTGACTTAACCCAGTATACACGCCGCTGTAGGTGCTCTTGCAGGTCCCCCGAGTCACCCAGCACAGGGACCACCTGCAGGTTCCAGGGCTCCCACGCTACCCCTATCCCAGAACACGCAGCCCTGGAGGTAGCAGGGTTGGCCGCTCACAGCAAACTGCCTGGGCAGGCACCTGTCCTTCCTGCACTCAGCTCCCCCCTTTCTGCAAGCCCTGCCCCCCACAGCCCTGCAGCCTCACCAGGGAAGCTGTGCTTCTTCTTACTGTTCCAGCCAGCACACAGCCACACAGCTCTGCGGTCTTTCCACATAGGGCTTCCCCACAGTGGCAGGTTCTTGGGCTCACCCCAGTACCCCCACCTGTTTACCTCCTACCGCGCCTCCTCCCCAGAGTGTGTAGCCCCACTGGGCCTCCTCGCAGCCCACAGTGGGCTGGGAAATGGCAGGGCTGGGTGACGCATGCGGGCAGCGTGGGAAGGAGGCGTGTCGGGCATGAGTGCCTGCCTGGTGCCAAGGCGCTGCTCGGAGTTTGGGCGCCGCGCAGCCTTTGGGCCCGCTCCCGAGGGAGCCTGCAGGGCTCAGGTTTTCCTGGGCCCGTGCTGTGTTGCCCGTGGGGACTCCCCCGGCCCCCACAGTGCTGAGCGTCACTCCCCTGGCCTGGCAGTGTCGGGGCACCTGAGTGTGCTCCTGCACCAGCCGTAGTGCTCGCAGGAGCCCCAGCCGCCCCAACTGCCACGGCCTCGCCTGTCCACCTCTTGGCCCAGCAGGGGCAGCACGTGCTGGGTTTGGGTGCCCTGCTCACGGGGGTGGAGCCCGGCGGTGCTGCACCAGGACGGTGGCGGGCGCCAGCGGCCTCCTGGAAGCGAGCGGGCAAGGGGCTGGTGTGCTGTCCGGCTCAGTGACGGTCTCGGCGCGCAGCCAGAGACAGTGGACAGACGCAGGTCTGCCCGGCGGCGCACCTGCCGGGGGCGTGTCCCCCGTGTGCATCTTCACTCCGCCTCACCTTTACCGGGTGCTCGTCTGTAAGATGTATATTATACTTTGAGAAATCTGTTCTTAAAAATGGGGACGCTTCTGAAGTTATAGAGGCCTGAACAGATAGAAACCCCACGAGGTCAGCCCAGAGGTGACAGGCCAGCGGCCACCACACCCATGGGGACCCGGCCGCCTTAAAGATGTGAGCCGGCTCAAGGACGGCTCCTGGCAGGTCACTCCAGTCTGGCATTGGGAATATTCTGGGCAAAAGGAAAGTGCAGCTGCGAAGTGACCTGGTGCAGGGCCCCGGGCATACACGCAGGCTGGGGCCACAGGGGGGCGAGATGGAATGTTTCTGACCCTGGGGGTGAAGCAGACTGAAGCCTGAGAGACCAGGCCCGGACGGACGGACGGACGGCGCGCCAGCCTCAGCACGCTTGGGTGGAGAAGGGCGCATGGTGCTGGCTTCCTCCTGTCGCGGCCTGTTGGCGCGTGCGAGCTCACCTTTCTCGGGCGTTGGCTCTGCTTGGTTGTATGTTATTTTCTCCAGACAGGAATACTGAAAGTCAAACTTCTTCCTTTCAGTATTTGCAAACGATGTATTCGGAAAATGGATCATCATTGCCCATGGGTGAACAACTGTGTGGGAGAGAAGAACCAGAGATTTTTTGTGCTCTTCACTGTGAGTAGAAGTGCGTGAGGACCCACGTAGTGCCGGCGTCCTCCCCTGGAAGCGGCCTGGGCAGGCCACTTCTCTGACGCCAGCCCAGCACCCTGCCACCTCCCCTGGCTGGAGGCCGCCCTCCCCGGTGCTCCTCAGGCCTCCGAGTCGCGTGGCTGCAGGATCTCGCTCAGGCGCCTGAGAACCTCCTTCCCCACTGTGGCCTTCCATAAATGTGTCGCCTAGCCCGGTGTGGTGCTGGGGCCGCCCTGCACTCGGGCCCCGTCCCCGCCAGCGCTGACGCGCGGGGCCTCACCCAGGCATGCGCGGCTGAGCCTCTGTCCCGCTTGCAGATGTACATCGCGCTGTCCTCCGTCCACGCGCTCGTCCTCTGTGCGCTCCAGTTCATCTCCTGCGTCCGAGGGCAGTGGACTGGTAAGTGCCACGGCGGGCGCCCTCCCGTGTGTGCTGTCGGGGAGAGAAGATTCGACTTTTCAGTTAGTGAGGAGATTCTCGTTTATTTTCGCGTTAACTGAATTGTGCTAGGAAGACCACAGGAAGTGCTCACACTGCCATTTGTAGGCAGTGACGCCATTACATGCGTGTTCTTCCCTCCCTCAGAATTTCTACTCAGTTCCATTTGTGCATTACAGGTTTCGGGGGTTGGGTGGAAATGACTGTTGCAGCCACCAGACCTGTGTGTTCTCTGGCTACATGCCATTTGCCATTCCAAGTGCTCGCCTCTCCATGAGTGAGCCCAGCAGGAGGGCAAGGCGGCCCCACCTGCCAGCCCTGGCTGGCCCCTCTCCTGCCTGTAGCTGCGTCTCGGCAGCGGCTCTCACCCACAAGCAGGGTCTCGGAGGGGCCTGGGCCTTCAGACTGCTCAGACAGGCCGGCCTCCTGCCACGGTGGGGTACACCGGCCCTGATGCCCAGTCACCCCTCTCTGTGCAGAGTGCAGTGACTTCTCACCGCCCATCACCGTGATCCTGCTGATTTTCCTGTGCCTTGAGGGGCTTCTGTTCTTCACGTTCACGGCAGTCATGTTTGGCACGCAGATCCACTCCATCTGCAACGATGAGACGGTACGCTGTGGGCAGCGGCATGCCCACTGCTGGCCGGGGCTGGTGTCCAGACGCCAGGGTGTCCAGGGAGCGGGCTGGGGCTGGCTCGGGCAGAGCTCTGCTCTGGCGTTGTTCCCTCTCCCTGCAGGGTGTGTTCGGGGGTCCAGGCAGATAGGCCTACTCCCAGGACCGGGCAGGGCTTCCCGCTTTCATGCCCTCGGCTTGAAGGTCCGGAGCAGGGGCCTGCTAAATGCTGGCGATAAACGAAGAGCAGGCCTGACCCGCATACCCGGGGGCAGCCCTGCCTGTCTGGAGCCTTTGCACAGGGAGGCTATGGGGGGCCGGGAAGGAGGGTCCGTTTTGCTGACCACCGAGCCTACGCGACCCTGGGACCCCTGGAAACAAACGGGCACCCCAGAGTATGGTGGGCGCCTCAGGCTCACCTGTCTGTCAGGAGCTCACCGCGGTGCCATCGCCACTTGCTTTCTGCTCCCAGGAAATTGAGAGACTCAAGAGTGAGAAGCCGACGTGGGAGCGGAGGCTTCGCTGGGAAGGGATGAAGTCTGTCTTTGGAGGACCCCCCTCACTCCTCTGGATGAACCCCTTTGTCGGCTTCCGGTTTAGGCGACTACCGTCGAGACCCAGAAGAGGCCCAGAGTTCTCCATTTGAGGCCCCTCATTGCTGGAACCTGTGAATGAACTTGTGTTATTTATTGGGGTCTAAAAGGGCGCCCACAGCTCTTCTGTGACCTCAGGGCAACGGGACCTGCACCCCACAGCAGCTTGCCAGGCCGAGCACCCCGCACCTGCAGCCAGCGTGCAGGCTTCCCAGACTAGCGGCTGGCTGCTGCGCTCCCGGGCTTCCCCGCCGCGCAGGGAGTTGTGGCCACCGGAGAAGTCGTCGTCCATTGGGCCTTTTGGTAGGACACTGCATTTTTTAATGAGTTGTGTGGAATGTTACAGGGTTATTAAAATCCTGTGTACTGAGCTGCTTTTTCAATCATGAAGAAAAGTCACCCGGTGAGAGAGAATCTTCCCTAGTGGGCTCAGGGCCTCCTGCTGACCTGTGGTCGGTCACTTGTGCCCTCAGCCCGAGGGCCGTTTACATATGGCTCCCCTGGGTCTCAGCAGGTGCTGGCCCTCCGCACTGAGCGAGCAGAGACTTGTGCACTGAAGGGGAAGCGGCTCTCCGGCCGTGGCCGCGCGCCGGTGTGCGTGGGCGCACGTGTCCCAGTCGGCAGCGGTGGAGCGACGTGACAGTTCACGGCCGCGTGCAGCCAGCAAGCTGGTGTTTAGCGCCCAATGTTTCAGGGAAGAGGGGAGAATGGCCGTGGGTCCCCCATGGGGTTTCCTATGAATGTATTGCATTTGGGAGGGTATCTAGATCCAAAGAACTGTCATCCCTACGTGGTCCTCCGTTGCCCTCCTGTTTTACTTTTATTTGCGATTCCACGCGCACGGGAAGCTGGTACTTTGTTCCAGCCACGTAAACCCGGAGCCCTGCGCAGGGTGCGTGCAGGGGCAGCCGCCGCGGCTGGATTGGTTTGGTGCCTGTCGCCCGCCCACGCACTGGCCCCAGGAGAGCCCCCGCGCGAGCTCACGTGATGCCAGAGAGCAAACAGCTCCCCTTCCGGGGGCTCGCCTTAAACTCGCCTGGCTTGCCCGTGGCGCGGGATGTCGAGGAGCGTCCAGCCACCCGCCTGTCCCGGGGACTGGTGCACTGGGCGACGCCTTTCTCGCCCCTGCGCGGGCCTGGTCTTGTTTTTAACTAGCCGTCCCCTTTCCTAATCAGGGCTTCCTACCATTGCTGATGCAAACCAGACGGGCCTACGAGACCCTGCCTGGGACTGGGCTGGGACGGCTGCAGCGGGCCAGTCACGCGGGAAGGCGGCGCAGTCGGGCATGTGGCAGCCAGGCGCCAGCCCCGGTGCCCAGGAAGTGGCTGCATCTCCAGAGACACTTCTGCATATTCATTTGCACATCCATTGTCTGGGGCAACGCTGGGGCTTCCAGGGGAGGCTTTTAATCATTACAGAATGACGAAGTGGTTGAATCCTGTGAGATTGGCAAGTATGTGCAGGCCAGGTGGACTGGACTTTCCAACCTCCTATTTCAATGTAACTTTTATATGAAATAAAGTCACCAATTGACAGTTGTCAGTTGATTAAGTGACACTGTTCACGGATTGTCTGTCTTTAGCGTCGGCTTTACCCTGATGGACACCGGCTCCCGCCTGTCACACATGGCCAGGTGGCCTGGCCACGGGGCCTGGGGCATCTGAGTGGACACCCCCTTGCACACGGCGCAGTCCCAGTCACTCCTGTCCTTTCTCAGTGCACTTTGAAATAGTTTAAGAAATGCCTCTTTGTTCCACAGTCTCTGGTACCCACCACCTAATGTCTTCAGCAGACTTGTGCAGCCCAAAGCGGGGGGACAAGGCTGACATCTCCCACACCGTGCCGGCTCCTGAACTGTGCTCAGCTGTGCACTGCTGCGGGATCCTCACCTCCGGGGTGCTGGCCCACTGGCGCCCACGCCTCGCAGAGCCCCACGGGTCCCGGGCCGTGGCCACACCCCCGAGGCTGGGGGCCTAGCCAGCAGGCTATCAGACCTGTGTTTGTGGCTCCACTGCTGCAGGGTTTGCTCTGTTACCTCTGCTGCCGATGTCAGACTGGCTCGTGACATTTGCATTAAAATGAAACTCTCAGTACCCACTGCAGCACGAGCTCCATCCCCGCCAGGGAGCTGACCCACAGGCAGCAGGCCTCTCCTGACCCGCCCACTGCTCCCCTGAGCAGTGTATTTCAGTCCATCTGCCTCTTCTGCTCCCCACTATCTCTGATGAATCCTCTCACCGGGCCTGTACCCCAGCTCATCTATATATAATCTTTACCAAAAAATGAAAATACCATCAAACAGGAAAGTGGCCAGGTCCGTCTTGCGCTGTGTGTGAGCTTGCTTTGGCCGCGAGCACAGTAAAAGCCTTCCAGGGTGAGCCTGCACCGGCCGGCTGCCCATAAACTGGAGTCCAAGTAGCATGCCAGGGCCCTCAACCGAGGACCACGGTCACCTCACACCCATCCGGTCTCCTCAGGGACGCGGCCGGGTTTGGGTCTGTGAGCGAACGAATGGGCGGCCTGGTGGGAAGAAACTCCACGCAGGGCACCCCTTGAGGTTCCAGAGATTTGTAAGCCTGGGATCCTGCCCCCACTCACAGGAATGGTGACACCCCTGTTTGTTACAGTTCAGCTTTTACATGATAAGGATCCCACTGTGAAAGCCAGGGCCGCCTGTGAATCTGAACGCCTGCTGGCTCTTCCCAGAGTTGAGACACCTTGTGGGGAGCTTCTAACCAGTGGGCCCACAGTGGGGTGGGCCAGAGGAGCAGTGGTCCCTGGATAGGCCCTGCGTCCTCAAAGGCCAGCACCCCTGCCTGGGAAGGGCCACAATGGAGCTGCCAGTTGCTGTGTGCACTAGGGGTGAGGGGACATGCCAGCCCCTGGCACCCTCACCCATACCACCTCATGAAGGGAGGGGACCTACTTCTTTGACCCTTAGAACAACACAGTCCCCCTTCTGGAAAGCTCTACCCTGTTCCCAGTCTTGGCCATGGGGATGCAGCCTGGGAGCAGGAGAGGCCTCCCCTCCAGGCCCAGCGGCCAGGGACCAGGGCCACACTGGAAACGCCCATGTGCCTGCCAGAGGGACAGCAGGGAGCAGGTCTTCCGTGGTCCTGCTGGGCAAGGCCAGATGTTGGTGTTGGGCAGGTGTACCAGGACCCCCGGGGTGCCCAGCACCCCAGCTCTCGCACTTCTCACTTCCTCACAGGTCCCGAGCTCCCTCCCGCCTCCGAGTTCAGGGAACATCTTGTCTTCCTGACTGGTCAGAACCATGGTGGCACCTGAGTGTACCTGGCCACCGCTTGTCCTCCCAGTCCCAGACAGCAACGCTGGGAGGACTGAACCACAGCCGGTGACATGACTCTTTGCCGCCGGGCTCGGGATGGCGGCTCTTACGGGCCACCTGGCATCACGTGCCTGTCGACCCAGGTTTCCTCAAATGCCGCTCCTCTGGGCCATCAGGCTCCTGACCAAGCCAGGCAGTAGAGGGAGAACAGGAAGTTGGCACAAAGGGTCCAGCACCCCCACGTCCCCCCCTTCCCTCATGCAGTATTTCTGAAAGCTGTGCACGCTCCAGAACAAAGTCGTTCAAATCCTTTTAGTCTCTCACACCCGGGACCTCTCCTCTAGCCATAAAACTTCTGAATTATCTCATGGGAGGCCAGCTAGGGTCTGGCTGTTTTGCTCAACAAAACTGGCCAAAACCCATGTCTGGGAGCCCAGCGCCTGCCAGCTAAGCAAGTGCAGCCACCAGCAGCCTCAGCCAGGGCGGATTCCCCTCGAGTCGCCTGCGCTCACCGTCCAGTGCTTCTCTTCTCACACGAGGCTTCCTCTCTAGCTCATCTACAGGCTCCTGCCCCAACTCTTTCCTGCGTGGGCATCAAGGACCTCAGCCTCCCTGGGGCCCACAGAGAAACTGGGAGTGCAGCAGTAGAAATGATTAATGTCACTAAACCAGGAGCTGCTTCCCCAGCTCCATGTTACAACTAGCCCTGCCCTGGCCAAGGCAGCCCCTGCCAGTCTGCCCGCCGCGTCTCCTTTAACTGACAAGCCTGCCCACTTAAAGCCCACACCTGGCCGGGTCTGCAGGGTCCCCTGGGCGAACTCACCAAGCGCTGCTCAGAGGGGAACTCTGCCAAGGACCCCATTCACGCACCCCAACATCACTCAAAATGACATAAGGAAAAGTAACTTCAAGACCCGTCTCACTAATAAGGACATTCAGAAACTACATAAAACTTAAAAAGTCACAGAATCAACCTTACTGGTTTCGAAAGTTGGTAGTGTTCTAAAATACTGTATGCCACCCAAATGAAATCTTGCCATTGTTACAATCACATCTTTAATATAGACATTTTCAAGTCTTTAGCCAGAAAAAAAAAAGAATAAAATATAGTCTTCAGCCATTGACAAAAGTTATTTTAGACCTGCCCACAACATGACAGAATAAAGATGTTGGAACCACCCTCTCCCTTTAAAACAATGATTAAGAACACAATATGTGTCACGGGGTGACCCAAGCGTGCTGCCCCCCCTCAGAGCCCCAGGACTTCGTTGGAGACCTTGACCTAAGACTGGCGGCCACTGAGGAAAATGACGGGAAGAAGCCACATGTGACTGGACTGGGTCAACCCCCAAGCCAGGATGGGGCAACCCAGGCCACTGAGAATCCCTGCAGAAATTCTTTTACCGGGATGGCGAGGACTCTGCAGGAAGCTGGGAGCCCTGCAGGAGCATCAAGAGTTCTCTCTCCAGGCCTCCAGGAAGAGATCGAAGAGCGGCCTGGCTGGATGCCATAAAAAACCCAACAGCAGAGAGAAAGGACTTGTGAGAGGGTCCAGGCACTGTTTGGAGAGTAAACCGACTGTGTGCAGATACTGCAGCCTGAAGGAGCGATGGGGGGGGAGGGGGAGGAGGCGGTAATTAGTCCCAGAGCACCGGCCTGGCAGTCCAGACCTAGCTCTCCCACGGGAGACTCCTACGTCACAGATCACAGCCTGGGCAGAAAAGCGTGACAGAGGCAGACTGAGAAGGTTGCACGGCCCAAGGATGGAATACAGCTTGCTGTGGAATGGGAGGAGGTAGAGATGACCAGATTCACTTCTCAAACTGAGCTAGAGTATTAAAGCTGTTGCCCTCATGTGCCCTCAGTGTGAACTGAGGCAAACTAAGAGAAACAAGCAAGACCAAATCTGCAGCACCCCAAATACACACACCCTACACACACACACACAGATATGCACACACACAGCAAATGAGGTAACACAGATGCCTGGGGAGTAAGGAACATCTGAACACAAGATATAAAAGCAAAACGGTAAGTCCTAGAACAAATACAAAGCATACAGATAGAGTAGAGCTATCAAAGACTTCAAAACAATATTAAAAATGCTAAATGAACTACTGGAAAGTAAAAGGCAGAGAGCAGGTGCAAAATCTTAGAAAGGAGACCCAGGAACAGAGACTTCTCCACCAAAGATACTGAATATATAGTAAAGATCACAAAAAGAGACTCAATGAAATGCAGACAAGTTTGGAAGCCTCCCCAAATAGAAATAAATTGACAGAATAAAGAATTTCAAATGTAGGCACTCATTTAAATGAAGAGAATCAAAACAAAGGAAAAATGAGCAAACTGAGAGATGTCAGACACAACTAGAAGAAGAAACTTAGGAGTAATCAGGATCCCAGAGACTACAGATAAACAGAAGCAGAAACCCTTTAAAAAAAAAAAAAAACAAAGAAAACTGAAAATCCCCCAACCCTAAAGAATTAATTAAAAATGGATGTCCAGCAACTACAAAATACAAACAGACATACCACTGACTGGGAAAAAATTTTTCATACAATACTAGTGGTAAAGGATTGATCACAAAGATACACAAAGAACTGATGAAACTCAAAAAAAGTAAACAACCCCCAAAAAAATGGACAGAAGAGCTAAAAAGACACTTCTCCAAAAAGGAAATGCAGATGGCCAAGAAGCATATGAAAAAATGTTCAACATCACTAGATGTTAATCACTTGATGTTAATAAGGGAAGTGCAAATTAAAACCACAATGAGATACCACCTCACCCCAGTGAGAATGGCACATCTTCAAACAACTAGCAACAACATATGTTGGCAAGGATGTGGAGAAAAAGGAACTCTCCTGCACTGCTGGTAGGAATGCAAACTAGTACAACCACTACGGAAAACTGTTTGGAGGTTCCTCAAACTGCTAAACATGGAGCTTCCCTAAGGCCCAGCAATCCCACTCCTAGGTATCTACCCAAAAGACACAAAAACACTGATTGAAAAAGATACCTGCACCCCAATGTTTATTGCTGCTTTATTCACAACTGGAAAGACATGGAAGCAGCCCAAATGCCCCAAAATGGATGACTGGATTAAAAAGATGTACATATATACAATGGAATATTACTCAGCTACCAAAAAAAGGAAACATGTCTTTTGCAGCAACAGGGATGAAGCTGGAAGGGATCATGCTTAGTGAAAAAAGCCAGAAAGAAAAGGAAAAATACCAGATGCTTTCTCTCATAGTAGGAATATAACAG